GGAGAACTGCTACTAAGAAGGGGAGGAGGGGCAGCCAAGGGCGAGAAGGTCACCGTTTGGCCGTTGTCAGGGAAAGCGAGAGCGTGGCCACCACCATCGCTGAACCCTAAATGCACAGACGCATTGATGGGAGTAATCATGTGAACGAGGGGTAACAGCGGGACCCATTGAGCAACCGTGTCCCCTCACTTAGGGCCGGTCAATGAGGGCCCAGATGCCTCTTGCTAGGATGCAAAAGATAACGTGGGGGGAGACCTTGGGTTTGATCCGGCCCATAGATGTAACCACCAGTTTGCAAGACGTAGGAGGGACAGGAAACAAGAAAAATGAGAACGCGAGGCGGCAAACCATCGAATTGCAGATTGCAGGGCTCCCCGATGGGGCAAACAACCCAGGTCCTTGTCAAGTGTGTGGCAAACAAGGGAGAAGAAAGGTTCGAGGTGAACTTTATGGGTGAAATAACGCTGAGGGAGGAATCAACCCAATGCCACGTGGACCTGGGTGAGCTTCCCCTCGGCAGGGAAGAAAAACACATCTTGGTGACATTGGGGGGGGAATTTGCCTGTGGAAGGGGTGTGAGAGGATGTTCACAACTTTTGTCTTCAGTTTTCCAACAGACAGGATGGTGGGTGTTTGCTTTATTGATTTCTTTATGTAAAATAATCCCAGAAACAACATCAGAGGAGTAGAAAGATCAAATAAGGGGACAGAGATCTGATATGTATGGAAGCTGACTGATAGGTCGCCAGAGATTCAATGTAAGTAAACCCTTCTCTCGACTTTAAAAAAAATTTGTTTTCTTTATTGATTTTAGAGTCAGAGGAAAGAGAGGGAGAGACAGGGAAACATGGATGAGTAAGAACATCGATGGGCCGCCTCCTGCACGCCCCCCACTGGGGATGGGCCCACAACCTGGGCATGTGCCCTGACCGGGAATCGAACCGGGGACCTCTTGGAGCAGGGTCGACGCTCAACCCCTGAGCCGCACCAGCCTGGCTTGTCTCTCTACTTTTGTCTGTGTTTGAAAATAATAGGAAACAACTGAAAATAGGGGTTTAGACGTGATGCCTAGCGGGAGGCCAGAAACAAGAATTCAAAGACAGTGTTCAATGTAACATCCGAGTGTATAAAACAACAATGGAAAAACTAGCAACGACCTTTCAGAGACGAAGAAAACTGTATCAGCAAAGCAGAGCTAGTTATTCTCTTCATGCAATCCAATAAAACAGCAGCCGTGGCTCCTTTTAGTCATTGTGGAAAATAAACAATCATTCTACTCTGTCCCCAAATCTTTCAGCAGGTTTTGTGCGGAACATAGTACGTAAGGTAGCGAGCTCCCATAAGGCTGTCGGCTGATTGCTCAACAGAAACGTTGCAGGCCGGACGGGAGCGGCAAGAAATATTCAAAGTGGTAAAAAGCAACGACCTACAAGCAAGAGGACTCTATACCCTGCAAAGCTGTCATTTAGCATCGACGGGCATAGCGAGAGTTTTCCAGACAAGAAAAAGCTAAAGGAGTTCATCCCCACCAAACCGGGATTATATGAAATGTTGAAGGGTCTTCTTGAAGAAGAAGAAGAAGAAAAAAAAAAAGGTAAAAAATAGGAACACGATGATGGCAATAACTACACACATATCAACAATGAAATCTGAACATAAAATAAATGAAGAAGCAGAACAGAAAAAGACGTATCGATACCAAGAACATGATTATTACCAGATGGAGAGGTTTGGGGAAAATGGGTGGAAAAGGTGAAGGGATTAAGAAGCACAAATCGGTGGTTGCAGAACACTCATGTGCATATAAAATGCAGACTAGGGAATATAGTCAATCATATGTTAATAACTGCGTATGGTATCAGATGGGTGTGACCTTCATTGGGATCATAACTTAGCAATTTATGCAGCAACGTCTAATCATGGGTGTACACCTGAAACTAATATAACATTGTGTGTCAACTGTAATTAAAACTTATTTAAAAATGGGGGGGAGTGTGTATGCAAACCAGTTTCATACGTGCATAAGAAACATCACTCTGAGAAAACACGAGTTTTGTAAAATCAAGTGAGAAGAGAGAAAGTCTAGACAAAGCTTCATACATGACGTCCCCGTGAGCAAATAAGTTCAGACGGTGAGGAGGGTATTTCGTCACCACATGCTCAAATATCTTCCACCTCACGCCGTGAGCAAATGTGAGAAACACACTTCTCCAAGCGGTGTGTTCAAATATATGATTCGAGAGCAAGCTCTCTGTTCTGTCTCTTTTGTGTTGAGCTGTGGGGAGCCCAGGGAGCCCCCCAGCATTCGATGTCTGGGCACAAACCCTGCCTGGTGTTTGAGTCGTCAGCCAGAAGGGTGGCCGTCACCCTGGGCTTGGGACAACGCCCTCGCGAGGCCTGGCCCCGAGCGACACTCCCCGTGATTAGGGAGATGACGTTGTGTTTGCAAAAGCGATACATCAAGATCCAACCAATTCGTCCAGTGACTTAATTGCTGCGTGTTATACACTAACCTGACTCCAGTCATTTCATCTTAAATCAACGTGATGCATTTTCTGGGTAAGAACCTGGTTTTGCCCAACTTCTAATCAAGTGAACTTGTGAGCAATTTGTGTCTGCGTCGCCGGACTCGGACTTCGGAATGAAAGGAATTAGAAATAAGCCAAGGATACAGGTGCCCTAATACCAGGTGCTGCCAGCAGGGGGCAGCATCGATGTTCTAAATCCTACTTGAAGGCAAAAAGCAAAAACCACACCAAACCAAAGTCCTCCCTGCGCTATGCAAAAATACCTTGTTTTTATCGGCTTTGCTGTTGGCAGTGTAATTAATGAAATTTTATATGGGAACACTTAACTGCATTCGAAAAAATTTGTAGGATGGCCCCTTTCTACAAAGTAACAGACAGATGAGGAATTTGGTATAAAATTATCCCAGCCCAGCCGGGGTGGCTCGGTGGTTGAGCGTTGACCCTGCACCAAGAGGTCGCCGGTTCGATTCCCGGTCAGGGCACATGCCCAGGTTGTGGGCCCATCCCCAGTGGGGGGCATGCGGGAGGCGGCCAGTCGATGTTCTCTCTCATCGATGTTTCTATCTCTCTTTCCTGTTCCCTTCATTTCTCTCAAAAATCAATAAAGGAAAACAAAACAATAACAACCAAAACTGCCCCAAAGCACAGTTCCCATAAATATAGATATTTCTACAAGAGCAGGAATACAATGATCCCCTTACCCAGGTCTGGATATGAACCACTGAGCACCTGTATCTCCTGAGCACTTGAAATGTACTGAGGATCGGACATTTTCATCTCATTTTATTCATTAAAACAAACAAACACACACAAAAAAACATGCAACTTTTTCGATGATATTCAATGCAGTTACTAAAAAAGATGTAAGTGTTGTGGGGGGAGCTAGAGGCCGTGAACGGACTTGAGCGACTGCAAAGGTTACGGATCCCGTATTTCTGATGCAAATTTAATGCCCCGTCGGAGATGCCCAGTGAGGATCAGGTCCACCTTGGATTTCAAACACCGCGGAGCAGAAATTCACGGCGACCCTCCCCCCCTTGACAGGCTACGTTAGTGAAATGATCGGCCTCTGTTTTATTTTATAAAACCACATGAGCCCTGGCCGGTTGGGCTCAGCGGTGAGAGCGTCGGCCTGCAGACCAGAGAGTCCCGGGTTCGGTTCCCGCTCAGGGCACGGACCTCGGTTGCAGTGTGTCCCCGACCCTGGTTGGGGTCGTGCGGATGGAGACCACTCGATGTGTCTCTTTCACGTCGATGCCCCCCCCCTCTACCTGAGGATAAATGCACAAACAAATAAAATAAATGCAAACAGATTACTTGAAAACCTTAAATAACACACGAGGTTATTTGTACCGGACGAGGCTGTGTGGGGCAAACAGGAAGGTTAGAAGGGAAATTACTAGAACTGTGCAGAGCAACAATGTTGCGAACCTGGGTTCTGATGGCCCTCGCTCTGTCTCCAGCTCTGTCTGGGTTTGCCAGCATTTAGGGTCCTTGTGCACCAGGTGGTTTGCTGGGGCTCTTGGGGATATAAGAAAGAAGGCCTGTGTTTTATTAGGGAATACAAACGAAGGGGAGAAAACATGGGCGTAGAACCCAAGACAGTTTCATCACCCACTTTTACACATTCTCTTCCTCATTTCTTCGCGGGAAAACTCTACAAGTGCATTAGACAGAAATGTTTAGACCCCAAGAGAGGCCCCCGGAACTTCCCGTAAGGGGTCGTCCTGGCTCAGATGCACAGGATTTAAATTAGAAAAAGTGTTTCGTATTGTAGTTAATGTGGTGGATCACCCTGATCGATGTTTGGATGTTGCACCAAACCTGTTGGCCAGATAGAACGGCAGGGAGAGAGGGGGGAAGAGAGAGAGAGAAACATCGATGTGAAAGGGACACATCGACTGGCTGCCACCCGCACGACCCCAACCAGGACCGGGGACAAACGCAACCGAGGTCCGTGCCCTTAGCTGGAACCGAACCGGGTCTCTCTGGTCCGCGGGCCGACGCTCTAACCGCTGAGCCAAATCGGCCAGGGCTGTATAACGTTTTTAATGTACTGCTAATGACCATACATGCATAATGATATTATTCAGCCAGAAAAATGAAACTGTGCCCTGGCCCGTGTGGCTGAGTGGATGGAGTGTGACCCATGGACTGAGAGGTCCGGGTTCGATTCCCGGTCAGGGCACACGCCCGGGTTGTGGGCTCGATCCCCAGCAGGGGGCCTGCAGGAGGAGGCCCATCTATGTTTCTATCTCTCTCTCTCCCTTCCTGTCACTAAAGTTAATAAATACATATATTTTTTTAAATGAAAGCAACAAGCATTTGGGGCAACACGGATGGACCCAGAAGGCGTGCCCGACAGAGAAAGACAAACTCTATGTGATCTCAGTGATATGTGGAGCCTGAAGAAGAAGAACCTCCGAGAGCGGACAGGTGGCCCTGGGGTCCCCGGGGCTCACGCTCACTTACTTGTCCACCAGCTTCTTGGCGAAGCCGAAGTCGGTGAGCTTGACGTGGCCGTCCTTGTCCAGCAAGATGTTCTCAGGCTTCAGGTCCCGGTAGACGATGTCCTTGGAGTGCAGGTACTCGAGGGCGCAGACGATCTCCGCCGAGTAGAACAGGGCCGCGTAGCTGGAGAACCGCCCCCGGTTGCGCAGGTAGCTGAACAGCTCCCCGCCGGGCACGTACTCCATGAGCATGTACAGGAAGCGGTCGTCATGGCATGTCCAGAACCTGCGAGACACGGCTGCTGACCCCGGGCTGCGTGGGGAGATGCAGGGCGCGGGGCAGGGCAGGGGCGGGGATCGGGCACGGGTGGGTGTTGAGACACGGTGAGCACAGATGTCAGGATGTGCGCAGGATGGACACTGGGACACAGGTGTGCACAGATGTTAGCATGTGCACAGGATGGACACTGGGACACAGGTGTGCACAGATGTTAGCATGTGCACAGGATGGACACTGGGACACAGGTGTGCACAGATGTTAGCATGTGCACAGGATGGACACTGGGACACAGGTGAGCACAGATGTTAGCATGTGCACAGGATGGACACTGGGACACAGGTGTGCACAGATGTTAGCATGTGCACAGGATGGACACTGAGTCACAGGTGTGCACAGATGTTAGCATGTGCACAGGATGGACACGGAGTCACAGGTGCGCACAGATGTCAGGATGTGCACAGGATGGACACGGAGTCACAGGTACGCACAGATGTCAGAATGTGCACAGGATGGACACTGGGACACAGGTGTGCACAGATGTTAGCATGTGCACAGGATGGACATAGACACACAGGTGTGCACAGATGTTAGCATGTGCACAGGATGGACACTGAGTCACAGGTGTGCACAGATGTCAGAATGTGCGCAGGATGGACACTGGGACACAGGTGTGCACAGATGTTAGCATGTGCACAGGATGGACATAGACACACAGGTGTGCACAGATGTTAGCATGTGCACAGGATGGACACTGGGACACAGGTGTGCACAGATGTTAGCATGTGCACAGGATGGACATAGACACACAAGTGTGCACAGATGTTAGCATGTGCACAGGATGGACACTGGGACACAGGTGTGCACAGATGTGCGGACGGGGCCCTGGCTCAGTCAGGGAGGGTGGGACCCCTTCTCAGCTCCTTGTCTACAAAGCCACCACAACAGAGTTGAGTCCAGGCTGGTGACCAGACCCCTGGTGGCCCAGCCGTGGCCACAGCAGCACGGTCCATCTGTAAGGACACCCTGTCTTCGGTCCACATCCCCTCCTTCTGCACCATCCTGCTTGGTGTCCACCGTGTCCCACCCCACCTCCCTGGCCCCACCCAGCAGACGACTCCCTTGTCGTCGATGAGCCTCGCTGGAGAATTCACACTGCCCCCCTCTCGCTACGATCCGAACCTCCCTGTGGAGTGTCCGTGATGCGATAGATGTCATCAATTTGGGCCAAAACATAGGAATGGGGACTGGAGAGGCGTTTTGGCTTCTTCCGTCGCTTGTGTTCCTTGTGGGAGACGATGAGGAGAAAAAAAAGGAGACGGGTTTTTAGATTTTTGTTTCTAGACTTTTGCTTTTGCAATGGAGATGGAGAGAGAGGGTGAGCACGGTCAGGACACGGTCTTCCTTCCTCCTGAACTTGCAGAGAAACAAAGGAGCCACCTGCAGGACCGGTGGAGACGGAGCAGACCCAGGCAGGGGACTTGAATGAGGACCTTGAGCTCTGGCCTCTCTCCATGAAGGTGTGAATCCCTCTAAGCGGATCAGAAAAGGTCGTTTCCACAGTCGTGAGAAAGATACGTCCTGCGGGTGATGGACGCCGAGCTGTTTCTTCCCTGACGTGCAGGACAAATGTGTAATTCCCGGTGGGGGTGACGCCCGCTGGTCTGCTACCGTGCGGTGGGTCTGGGGGCTCAGGCCCCTTCCGTGGGCCTGCACACTGGTGACAGGGAGAAATCGTGAAGCCCAGGTGCGGGGGCTGCGTCCGGAAAGGCAGAGGGACCCCATGTCCACGTCAGCTTCGTGCGCGACCCCTCGGCAGGTGCGCTGGGCTGGGCAGCTTCGGTCCCCTCAGGGACCCCTGGTCAAGCTCGGAGACAGGCTGGGTGTTACAACTGGGGCAGTGGGGCAGGGGGAGCCCCTGGCATCCAAGGGAAGGGGCCCGGAGGCTGCTGAGCCCCCCACAGCACTCAGGGGACCCCCATCCAGTCGCCCAGCCCCGGATGGCAGAGGGCGGAGGCTGAGAGACCTGCCTCAGCATGAGAGACGTGCTCCCTCTCTGGGTCTCAGTCAATCAATCTAGGATTCATCTATTTGTCTTCTATCAGCTATCCACCTATTCATTACCTGTCATCCTCCATGTATATCATCTATCATCTATCAATCCATCCATCTATATGTTCTATCAATCATCTATTTATGTATCTATCTATGTACCTATGTATCTATCATCTATCTATGCATCTATCTATATCTATCTATCAATAATCTATCTATCTATCTATCTATCTATCTATCTATCTATCATCTATGTGACTATCTAGTTATCTTTCTATCCATCCATCTATATCATCTATTATCTATCTATACATTGATCCATGCATCCATCTATATCATCTATCAATCATTTATCTATCAATCCATCCATCAATTTATATCTTCTATCAATTGTGTACTTATCTATCCAACCATCCATCCTTCTATATCTATCAATCATCTATCTATAAATCAATCGATTGATTGATCCATTCATCCATCCATCCATCCATCCATCCATATCAGCTATCTATTATCTATCTATACATTAATCCATCCATGCATTTATCCATCCATATTTATCTATCAATTATCTATCTATCTATCTATCTACTTATCTACCTACCTACGCATGCATCCATTCATCCATCCATATCATCTATCACTCATATGCCTATACATTCATCCACCCATCCATCCACCCACCCACACACCCATCCATCCACCCACCCATCCATCTGTGCCAGTTGTCTCCAATCAAGGACAACGTCACCTCTGGAGAAGTTTGGGATAACATCTAGAGACATGTTTCCTGGTCACCATAGCAGAGGGCGTGTTACTGACCTCAAGCCGGTAGACACCCAACTACCTGGACAGAACAGCTCCCCCCCCGGAGAATCACCTGCCCCCAGGTGTCCTCAGGGCCAAGACTCAGAGCCCCGATCTGGGTGCAAACGTCTGTCAGACGCCAGCCATCTCTAAAGGCAGAAGGGCGAGGGGGGCCCTCACCCCTGGTGACCCATCCGCCTTCCCCGCGGTTAGAAGCAGGAAAACGCGCCCCGGGTTCCGGAAACGGTACAGACAGCTGGTGATGCCGAAGTGACCGACATTTAGAAGAGAAACAGTGACCAGCTGAGGGATTTTATTTTTATTTATTGACTTTAGAGAGAGAGAGAGGAAGGGAGAAGGAGAGAGATGGAAACATGGATGAGAGAGAACATCGACGGGCCGCCTCCTGCACGCCCCCCACTGGGGATGGGCCCACACCCTGGGCCTGTGTCCTGACCGGGAATCGAACCGGCGACCTCTTGGTGCAGGGTCGACGCTCAACCCCTGAGCCACACCGGCCGGTCTGCAGCTGGGGGATTGAAGACATTCTTCACGGATGGTGTTTTCCTACTAAAACAAGTCCCTCGTCATGTGGTCCTGGCCACATGTCACGTCCCACCCACGGGCGGGGCTGGCCAGGTACCTCGTGCTGGGGCATGGTCCCCACGGTCAAGGAGGCTGGAGCACACTGGGCCGACCTTAATCCCCGTTTATGAACAGATCTGCATTCTCAAGTGATAACACAGAGAAAAATCCCAGCTGCTACGAGTCCATTATAATAGGAGCCCCATAATCCAGGAGTTATGGGCTCCATTATGTGCCCGCAAATTCATAGGCTGAACCTTCACCCCAGGACCTCAGATGGGGCTGCATTTGGAGACGGGTCTGTGAAGAGGTGATTTAGGTAAAATGAGGTCCCTGGGGTGGCCCTGACCCCACAGGCCTGGGGTCCTCATAAGAAGAGGAGGTGAGGACACAGATCACACAGGGGCGCCCCCGTGAGGACACGGAGCAGACAGCCGTCCACACGCCCCGGAGAGAGGCCTCCGGAGCCACCAGCCTGCCCACAGCTGGGTCTCAGACTCCAGCCTCCAGACGTGGAGAAATAAACATCTGCTGTTTAATCCCCCCCAGTCTGTGGTCCTTTGTGAAGTCACGAGCAGCAAACTCATTTCCCACACTTTTTGGACAAAAGACACCCAGAAAATCACGTCACCGGTAGGGCTGCAATTCCTCCACAGCGGACAATAATTTGCCCAGATCCTCAGCATTTCACGACACCCGTGGACACCAGGGTGCGCCTTGTTCCGGGTGCTATTTCATTACTGTGGGCAAAGAAGTCGTGACCCCAATCGGCGGAGAGATTTTTAAATCAGTTCCCGCCCCAAACTGCAATTGCAACTCAGAAAAATGTTGCGGTGATCGACTCATCCCACGGAGATTGAGTGACAAGAGAAAATGCGTGTCTCTCGGACGCATCCCCCGTTGGACATGACGTGTGCAAAGACCCCACTGGACGGGGTCCTCCAGCTGGGAGCTGAGGGGTAACAGGAAAATCAAGGTTGTGTAAAAACTGTCTGGTTGTGGAGCGACCAGGAGCAGAGACGTCAGACTCCTTAAAAGATAAAAACAGACGGATTCGGATACTGGGGGTCAAACTCTATGTCATCGAAATGGCAGCTGATGGACTTTGTGATGCAAACAACTTAGGTACTTGATGGAAAAGCACACAACAGCGTGGTGGTGTGGCTCAGGGGTTGAGCGTCGACCCTGCACCCAGAGGTCACCGGTTCGATTCCCGGTCAGGACACATGCCCAGGTTGGGGGCCCGATCCCCAGTGGGGGGCGTGCAGGAGGCGCCCCATCGATGTTCTCTCTCATCCATGTTTCTATGTCTCCTTCTCCCTTCCTCTCTCTCTAAACAATAAACAAAAATATTTTTTAAAAAAACAAAAGCGCACAATATAGAATGCACGTCCCCTGGACTCAGGAGCCCAGCGCCCGGATAAGAGACACCCCTGTCGGCTGCCCTGCCCGGAGGAGGCGGACGACCTGGCCACAGGTGTGGTGGGCGACCTTCTGCCTTTCCAGGAACCTTCTCAATGTGCACACGCTCGGGCTTCTGTCCGGGGACTTGGCCGTGAACACTTCCCCACTCCAGCCCCATGGAGCTCTTCCTTGGGACTTTAGGATTTTTGTTTCATAACTAACATTGGGGTTCATCCTTTGGGCTGGTCCAGGTCCAGGAGGTGATGAGGTTTGGATCACGTTTCTGGGGTGGTTGTGACAAATGACTGCAGACTGGGGGGCTTAAACCACAAATATTCACCCTCCCCGTCCTGGGGAGCAGACGTCTGAGACGGGGTGTCCCAGGGCCGCGCTCCCCCCGAGGCTCCAGGAGGGTCCTTCCAGCCTCTTCCGGCTCCTGGGCTGCAGGTGTCCCTGGGTGGGGGGCCCGTCCCTCCCGTCTCTCCTCCGTCCCCACGGGGCTTCTCCTCTGTGTCTGCGTCTCCTCTTCTGTCTCTTCCAAGGACCTGTCACTGGACGGAGGCCCCCCTGACCCAGGACGGCCTCCGCTCAGGCCCTTCACGGACCCCGTCTGCAGAGACCCTGTTTCCAAACACGTTTCCCTTCACAGGTACCGGGGGTCAGGGCTTGGACGTACCTTCGGGGGTAGGACAACATTTCAGCCACAATAGGGGTAGAATTCCCAGAACTGGGGGCCTTCACTCAGGATCCCGTGGGGGCCCCAGAACATCACGCTCATGACACCTGAACCCAGAAAGACGCAATGAGGGGAACCAGATGCACCGCGGCCCCCACCCATGCAGGGTCCCGGAGAGACTCCCACCCCCACCCCACCCTCCGTCCTGCTCCTTCTCCACATCCACGTCTAAGGCACTGGCTTGGACACTCGGTCCACTTGCTCCCGTCCCTGTTCTCCTAACGTCACCCGAGGTCACTGCAAGGACGTGACAGATTCGGGGTCTTCGTAGTCAGCCGCGGGGGCGGGAGACCCCGTGCGAGCGCCTGGTCGTCCTTGGGAAGGGCTCCAGGTGACCTTCGGTGACTCACGCCCTGCTTCTGCCCCAGGCCTGGGTGTCTGGGAAGTCGCACCACCTTTCCCCGAACACCCCTGGGACACTGGAGCGATAGCATCAAGGACTGTCTCCTGGCGAAAATATTTCCTGCAAATGCCCCGCAGCCTGGGGTCCTGTGCAGAAACAGGCGTCACCGGCAGTTTGTCCTCATTCCTGAAGGTCTACGACTTGCGCATTTTCTAGCCGTCCCTGCGCCGCCGGCCGAGTGCAGAGACAGACGTCGCTCCCGTCTGGGGGGTGGCGCGCGCGTGACCCATCATACCCTTTGCACCCCCGAGCGGAGAGGAGAGCAAGCAAGAACCAACCAGCTGCATTTCGGCGCGAGGACCCCGGTAGCTCCGCAAAGGGAAGGAGCACAGAAAGCCGACCGCGTCTCCTCTGCCCGGTTAACATGCCGCCGGCCCCCCTCTGGGACAGACAGTGTTTCGGGCCCGGAGGTTGCAGCGCAGGGGCTGTGGGTGGACAAGGTGGACCTCCCTGCACTGGGGTCCACGTCAGATGCTCTACACAGTGGGGGACACACCTGTGTCCGTGCGAGCAGGTGCGTCAGAGACGCAAGGCAGGGGCAGTGGGGAGGCGGGCACAGGTCAGGAGAGGCACATGAACGAAGCCTTGCAGGGGCCTGAGGTCCCCAGAGAGACCCTGGCGTGATTTCGGGGAGAGCACATCCCAGCCTCGACCACAGGGCACCTTCCAGGCCTGGTAAACGGACAGACGAGCGAGGGGAGAGGGACAGGGCAGACGGAAATGCCACCCTGATGTCTCTGCAGGACGCTGACGGATTCTGGGCACCTCAGAAATTCCCTGCACATTTCTGGGGAGGTCTCGGAGGCGGACCACCGCGGCTATAAAGGGGACCCGCCTTGGCAGGAAGTAAGGCCCGGGGGGGCCCAGACAGGGGGCGAGGCTGGCGCAGACACCCAGCGGACTGTGCCCCTGGACCTGAGGAGGAGCAAGAACAGGTCCCAGGGAGAAGTGGGAACCAGTGGGCGGTGCCCTCGGGTGATGGAGAGAGAGCGCCCCCTCTGGTCATTCAGATCTGACACCCGGCTGGGTCAGGACCCTAGTGTCCCCTGGCACAGAGCCCGAGAAAGGGCGAGTTTGTCCCCTGAGGGTCGTCACCTTGCACTGGAGGGGTCTGTGGGGCGGCTCGGGGGGCCCAGGAAGAGATGAGAGTGAACCCATCTGAGGGAATCACCTGTTCACGTTCTGCAGGGAGCTGGGGAGCCAACCCTGATGGGGGAGGGGAGCCAGCGTGGAGAGGGGTCGCAGAGGGTCTCAGGGGGACATTGAGGCCCGAGGCCAGCATTTCTAGAAGCGGCTCTGCTCTGGGTGGCCCTGGCCGGCCCGAGCTCAGGGCCTTTCCCGCGTCGCGTCCGCGGGATCCGAAGCAGAGAGAGCTCAGAAATGTGATGCCGCTGGTCCGAGGCTTTGCACGCACACGTCCACCGGCCGGGACGTCTCCGCCCGCTTGGCATCCCGGGGAGGGCGAGACCAGGGGAACAGGAGGAACAGACCCACCACGGGGGGCGCCCAGGGACGGACGGCGAGGACCCTCCGAAGGAGCGGGGACAGGCCCGGGGGGCGGACTCACAGTTTGACCAGAAACGGGTGGTTGACTTCCTTCAGGACCGACTTCTCGTTGTGCACATGTTGCTCCTGTTTCAGCCGGATGACGTCCGGGATGCTCATGACCTTCAGAGCGAAGAAATGCTTGGCCGCCTTCTCCCTGACCAGCTGGACCCGTCCGAAGGTCCCCGTCCCTGCGGGACGACAAGCAACGAGGTCAGATTGGGACTTGCAGGGGCCCGCGAGTTTCGCCGCTCGGGACTGGACCACACGCCAGCGTACTCTCTGTGCACACACTCACCTGCGACCTTCAACGGAACGCACTTGTCACACACACACACAAAGGTGACCGCCCGCCTCTGACATGCCCTTGGACGGGGGGAAAACTGGACGTGATTTCTGCAAAGGGATCATCTCACAGAAAACACACACACACACGAGCAACAGGAGCTGGATGGAAAGAAAAGCTGATGTATTTGTTCACCGCATCTTTTCTAGGCCCGGCCCTCCAGACCCACGCAGGGCGTGCGCCTGGCTGCGTGTGAGGCCCCCGACCCGCGGTTGCCCGCTAAACACGTGAGTCTTAATTTTAAAATTTGACACATGCTGGAATACAGTGATACGATGCTCACAGAAAGGCAGGACAAGTTAAAAATCGCAACCACTCCAAATAGGAAAGGGCATTAAACTCTGTATTTTTTTAAATCTGCACTTGAGGATACTTTCCTATTTATCTTCAGATACAGCGGGAGGGACGGAGAGAGAAACATTGACGTGAGAGGGACACATCAACTGGTTGCCTCCTGCGTTACCTGACGGGGCCAGGACGAACCGCAACCGAGGTACATGCCCTTGACTGGAGTTGACCCCGTGATGCATTGGTCCGGGGGCAGACACTATGATCATGAGCACACACCAGCCAGGGCAACCTGGGACCATTTGAATCCCAATCTCTCCTCCTCCCCAAACAACGTCGTCTGTCTCTTTCCACTTGCTCCTCCTTTTCTGAGCTTCGATGTGGGACATGGGTCCCACTAGTACCCCTCACACAGGCTGATGATCAATGGAAGAAATTATGAGATTAAAGATGGCCCGGCCACTGTGGCCCAGTGGACTCAGCATCATCCATGGACTGAGAGGTCCCAGTTCGATTCCCAGTCAGGACACAGGCCCAGGTGGCGGGCTTGATCCCTAATAGGGGGCGTGCAGGAGGCGGCCGATCAATGTTTTCTCTCATCAATGTTTTCATCTCTCTCTCCCTTCCTGTCACTAAAATCAATAAATACATATTAGAAAAATAAAAAAGATGGAAGAGAGGCCCCGGCCTGATAGCTCCGTTGGTTAGAGCATCATCCCAATGTGCATAGGTTGAGGGTTCAATTCCTGGCCAGACCACATGCAAGAATCAACCAACGGATGCATAAATGAGTGGAACCACAAATCAGTCTCTCTCTCTCTCAAATCCATCAATACATTTTTAAAAAATGGTGACAAGGAATTCCACCTAAGGTCAGAGAAGAGCTAATGTTGAAGCAGAGGAATGGACCTTTGTTTGGGGGGGCCTCTGGTGGGTGAATGGGTGAATGTCTCTCAAGTCCCTAGTGGTACAAGGAATCAATAAATGCAGACGAAGAAGTCGTCTGTCTAAGGGTGAGGATGTAAAAAACGGCCGACTAAGAGCGTCCCCCAGACTGCAAAAACGGCATGGACCTGATGAGAAGGAGGAAGAGGAATTCAGGGATGGCTTGAGAGGAAATAAGACCAGCAAAAAGCAGCCACACCACAATGAAACAATGTATCTCTTTTCCTCGTCACTACCATGAAACAATGTATCTTCTTTCCACGTGCTACAATGAAACAATGTATGAAACAATGTATCTCCTTTCCATGTGCTACAATGAAACAATGTATGAAACAATGTATCTCCTTTCCATGTTGCTACAATGAAACAATGCATGAAACAATGTATCTCCTTTCCATGCGCTACAATGGGACAATGTATGAAACAATGTATCTCCTTTCCATGTGCTACAATGAAACAATGTATGAAACAATGTATCTCCTTTCCATGTGCTACAATGAAACAATGTATGAAACAATGTATCTCCTTTCCATGTTGCTACAATGAAACAATGTATCTCCTTCCCATGTTGCTGCAATGAAACAATGTATGAAACAACGTATCTCCTTTCCATGTTGCTACAGTGAAACAATGCATGAAACAATGTATCTCCTTTCCATGTTGCTGCAATGAAACAATGTATGAAACAATGTATCTCCTTTCCATGTTGCTACAGTGAAACAATGCATGAAACAATGTATCTCCTTTCCATGTGCTACAATGGAACAATGTATGAAACAATGTATCTCCTTTCCACACTCAACATTGTACCTGGTCCCCAGCAAAGCGCATGGTTCTGCTCAAGCAAGGTGATTTTTCAGCATTTTCTATAAATCAAAGTCCCCAAGCTGTAAAGTCAATCCACTGGCCAACGGCCTGGGGAAGCAGGGGGTGTGGAGGAGCATAAGTAACCGAGCCTTTGAAGAGAAGTTTCCATCATGAATATTTTATCACCGCAGAAGTACACAGTGCTGGGCCCAAGGCACAAAATGTTGAGTAAGAAGCAGCACACGGCGACTGATTCGTCTTGAACGTCCAGTCTCATGAAAAGATAATTCGGGAGCAAAAATAGAAGCATCTGAGAAGAAGGTGGTTTGTGGATAAAACGGTGTGGAATCAGGTCAAAAAGAGACAGGAAGTAGGAAAAGCGCTTGGCAAAGAGGGAAGGGATATTGTTTCGGTGGGTTTTTTTTGTGCAGAGACTGACATTTCTATTGGGTGAAGGGCGTTCGTTTGGGAATTGGGTGTGTACTGCCACTTCTCATCAATGATTTTAGGCAAAATAATTAACTGTGCTGGGACTTATATATAAATCTTCTCTCCAATAACACAAAAGAATCACTATGGAGCATAGACAGTCTTCCCAGACAAGAAGATTCTAGCAATAGAAACAAGATTGTGTGCACTGATATGCTGTTCTCTCCCTGGTCCCTTTTGTCTTTCTTGGTTCTATTTCCTTTATTCTATTTTATTTCATATTTTTACGTAATTGTATTTTATTTTTTATCTCCTCTTGGCCCTCTTCCACCTCCACCCCCCCCCATCTCCACACCTTTTTGCTTCATCATTGGCCTCCACTATCCAAGTTAAGGAACCCCCTCATTTTGTGATGGTATTTACTAGACAATATTTTGTCCTTTTTAATATATTTTTATCTTTATTGATTTTACAGAGAGAGGAAAGGAGGAGGAGAGAGAAATAGAAACATTGATGAGAGAGAACATCGACGGGCCGCCTCCTGCACGCCCCCCACTGGGGATGGGCCCACAACCTGGGTATGTGCCCTGACTGGGAATCGAACCAGTGACCTCTTGGTGCATGGGGTCAATGCTCAACTACTGAGCCACACCGGCCAGGCAATATTTTGTCTTTGGAGCACTTATATTTGACTGACCCTCAACTGAAAGTTCTCTCTTCCTACATGAGCAGAACCTCAGCTATGAGTCAACAGATTTTTTTTATATGTATTTCTGCCTGTGAAGTCTTTTGCGCTTGGTGGGAACTGAGCTGTGAACACACAGAGTCAGGGCAGGACTTCGGAAGAGGCCTGTGGTCCCGGGGAGATGGGCTCAGGTCTGCAAAGCCACAGGCAGACTCCAGGTCCACACAGGCACACAGACGTAATCAAGGTGGACAACACCAGCAGCTACCGTTGTTTTTTTTAAATCCTCGCAAATGGATATTTTTCCATTTATCTTCAGACAGAGCAGGAGGGAGAGAGAGAGAGAAACATAGACATGAGAGAGGCACATCGACTGGCTGCCACCCACACGACCCCAACCGGGGCCGGGGACCAACTGCAACCGAGGTCCGTGCCCTTAGCGGGAACCGAACCCGGGTCTCTCTGTACCGCAGGCCGACGCTCTAACCGCTGAGCCACACCGGCCAGGATACCATATAACTTCCTTAATGTTTCCGTGTGTCAACTACTGAAATATTGAGTCCAGATCATGGTAAAATGCAAGTTACATGGATACATTAAGTGAAATGAATACACTACACAACGATCGCAGAATAAGGACGTTCTCATAACGGATGACACGGTCATTGCATAACTCAGGTTACAAATGACGGTGTATAAAATATCAATGTCCAAGGCAGTCCAACAAGCTGATTTTTTAAATATGTCACCGCACATACCAAGTATAGTCAGTTCATGTTCTGCTTTACAGGGGTGAAGCCTTGGAAAGGTATTTAAAGAGAGCGTGTGGCCGTTCTCCAATTCAACTAGAAACCACAGAACGGAGCACATGAAAAGCTTACATCGTATGGTATGTATATTATAGGTCAACGATCAAAATGCACCCCCCCCCCAAAAAAAAAAGAGAATGTGTGCTTTGAATAATGTCATGAAGATTCCTTTAAAAACTTGGACCAGCTGAATCAACTGAATGAAAATTCAGCTCCGGGGGGAAAGGGGTCAGGGTCAGGTCTGTCCACTTGTCTAGACATCTTAAACACACACACACACACATGCACACACACACACGCACACGTAACTCCCTGAACACTGCGTTGAATCCAGCAACATCCCATTTTACATGGTCTCGTCTCCAAATGGTGCAAAGAGAACAGACATTTCAGAAGGACTGTTTTCCTCTCTGCACATGATTTTGTCAGGTGTCCCCGCTCGTATCAAATAAGCAATCGCAAAAAGGAACAAGAAGCACAGGAAGTCTCCCCACACAAACAACGCTCACGGAGGTTGTGCAAGGGAAATGCCTGGCATTCCTGGGCCTCTGTCCGAGCGCGCGTGCAGGGTGTCCGTCTGCAAGGCAGCCCGGCCCCCGTGAGCTTCCTCTGTGAGGGGCGGCGGCGGGTCTGCGCACGCTCACACGCCAGCCGGGCGACACCTGCTGCATGGGGCCCGCACGTCGTGATGTCACCGTATCCCCCAAACTGCAAGAGGTGTAGTGTTCATGCTTGTGAGCAGGGTTTCTCAAGCTCAGAGCAACTGACATTTGGGGCTGGAGGGTTCTCTGCGGGGGGTGGGGCGGGGGCGCTGATGTGTCCTTGGCCTGGACTCACTGTATCCAGCAGCAACCCCCCCAATGTGATGATCAAAAATGTTTC